TGCTGACGACATTAAATTGTTCGGTAACCCTATGCAACATCAGATTGAAGGAGACTTAGGAGTAATACATGAATGGGCTAGAAAATGGATGCTGCACCCTAACTCCAACAAGTGTACCGTTCCTCATCTGGGGAAAAACAATCCTCATACTTGGTATCAGCCTGGAGATTCTTTGATACAAAGTGTGGAACAGCAAAAAGATCTTGAAATTTTGGTCAGTGATGATTTAATGTGGGAACCTCACATTGCAAATATTGCTAAGAAGGCAAATACACTCATTTACCTTATACAACGAGAATTCTGTAATACCCAATACCTCAGTAGAAATGGTATCTAAACTGTATAAAACCTATGTTCGTCCCAAAATAGAGTATGCCTGTTCAGTGTGGAGTTCATATTTTGTTAAAGATATTGAAATCCTTGAAAAAGTCCAGAGATGAATGACAAAAATTTCTGACCAGACAATTATAATATCCGGAGAGATTAGAAATATTTCAAATATCATCTCTAAAAGAAAGACGAGAACGTGGGGACATGATTCAGGTTTTCAAAACTGCTTCAGGCTACTATAGCCCATTAATTGAGCTCTCATTATTCCATCTCAACGAAAGAAGGGAATTGCGGGAACATTCAAAAAAAATAAACAAGGAAAAGAGCCACCTGCTGATCAGAATAAACTTTATAACAAATCGGGTGGTATATAAGTGGAACTCGCTTGAGGAAGAAACAGTGACAGCTCCAAGTGTAAACGCATTCAGGAATAAATAGACTAGACAACAAGCTGCAGTCATTAAACAATCAATTCATTCATTACATTTAACAGTTTATCACGCGCAATATCCTTTTGATGTTTGGGTCTTGCTTTTGTTAGATTTTTTTAAAAGTTGTTGTTGAAATGAAGATGGTTCTGATATTGTATTTCCGGCCAATCCAAGGTATTTTCTCTGAAAATCCTTGGATCTACCTATGGATTACTTATTGTTGGCCACTCTTGTTCCTTGTGTGTATTCTTGTTCTAGGTAGACGCTTGTCTTTATTTGTCCGTCCATTGTTCCAGGTTATAATTACGTCCAGGAAAACCAACCCATATTTTTGAATTTCAATTCAAACCACTCATTATTCCATCTCAACGAAAGAAGGGAATTGCGGGAACATTCAAAAAAAATAAACAAGGAAAAGAGCCACCTGCTGATCAGAATAAACTTTATAACAAATCGGGTGGTATATAAGTGGAACTCGCTTGAGGAAGAAACAGTGACAGCTCCAAGTGTAAACGCATTCAGGAATAAATAGACTAGACAACAAGCTGCAGTCATTAAACAATCAATTCATTCATTACATTTAACAGTTTATCACGCGCAATATCCTTTTGATAGTAAGCTATGAACATTAAAACAACCATAATTAAAAATAGAGCAATAACACATCGGTTTACCCGCCTTATTGCTTAAATAATAATAATAATAATAATAATAATAATAATAATAATAATAATAAATACAACAATTTTAAACAAAAAGCAAAAAGCTGCATCTATAAAGTAACGTGCGAATGGGGGAAGGCATAGATCACAGAGATATGAGACCACTGGATATCACAATTGCAGGGCACCTAACTAAAAGAAATAAAGAAGAAACCGCCAAATTAGGAATTGCTCAAGTATGAGATAAACAATACAGAGTACAATTTTCGTACACAAAAAATTATTGACAAAGAACAAAATTAGAGAAAAAGAAAGTTTAAAGGGTCAGCCTACGTTCAAGGAAGAAACAATATCTGCCTGAGCAGCATCAAATTACAACCTTCTTCAAATAGTTTATTATCACCATAATTATCATTATATTAGCTCACTAACGATAATTCTAGAAAATTTACAGTGAACACCACACTTGTTATTATAAGCTCGTAGTTTAAGAAACTTTATCATTAGCTTGTGAACGACTCTAGATACAAGAGAGTCGAAATGTTGCCGCAACAGGCCAAAAGCTAATGGAAGTCCAAAGATTTTTTATCCAAACGCTAATCTAAATATATAAAAATTAATGCCACTTTTCGTTGTAATTTTATAACTCAAGAACGGGCTCATCTAGCCTAACCAAATGTTTAGGCTTTGTTCGGACTATTTATTAGATGGTTTATGTGAAGTTTGCACAAAATCGGTCGAGCGGTTCTTCATTTATCACATTTTTTGTAAACTTAATTTAATTAAATTAATGACATAACAACATGCTGGTATACTGTCAACACTGAAAAAAATTCAATTTGACAGCAAAATCCCCATTAACAAAATGATCCTCCATTTATTGAATAATTCATTTATTGCATAAAATGTGATAAATGAAGAACCGCTCGACCGATTTTGTGCAAACTTCACGTCTAGGAAAATTGTCGATTTTCAAAAAAAAAAATTCCTACCCAAATGAATTTTTCAGGGATGATAGGGGGCGGGTGGGTGATCATAAAACCGAAGATATCACACATTCACCCCTCTGGTGTTTTGCGCTATAGGGGTTGAAATTGCGCCATTGGCGATTACTTGGTACCTATTTATTTTACGAAAAAATGTTTCAAATAAAAGATGTGCAACATTATTTGATCTACAAAGTTTATCTGAGGACTTTTTTGATTAAGGGCCATCTGTGGTCATAAGGGCCGTTTGAAATTTTATAATGAAAATGAAAAATTTTAACCAACGTGAAAAAATATTCTATAACACATACAACATTTTTACTTTATAAAGTTTTTACTCTCCCCCTGCCGTTTTTCAATAGGGGTAGTTTAAAGTTTTTTTATTTTTTTACAAAAAAATTTTCCTAATAAAAGTTTTATAAGATTACATTTCCTACAATTTTTCCCAATCAACTTTTTTTGTAACTCACCCTCATTCGGTGGGGGGACACTTCCCTCAGGGAAATTTTAGTTTTTAGGGGTTTATATTAATTTTTTTTTCTTTTCTCGCCTTTAGTGTATATAAAAATTGCAATTAACATTGTATTAAAAGAATTTTTGTTCCACCACCTTTTTGTTTTTAGGGGTAGTTCGCCTATTTTCAACTTTACAAAAAAAAAATATAGAGAAAAGTTGTTCAAAATAATAAAATGAACAAGTTTTCTTAATAATTTTTTTTTGTAAAGTTGAAAATAGACAAACTACCCCTAAAAACAAAAAGGTGGTGAAAAAAAAATCCTTCTAATACAATGTTAATTGCAACTTTTTATATGCACTAAAGGCGAGAGAAGAAAAAAAAAATTATTATATACCCCTAAAACTAAAATTTCTCTCAGGGAAGTGTCCCCCCGCTGAATGGGGGTGAGTTACAAAAAAAGTTGATTGGGAAAAATTGTAGAAAATGTAATTTTATAAAACTTCTATTGAGAAAATTTTTTTGTAAAAAAATAAAATAACTTTAAACTACCCCTATTGAAAAACGGCAGGGGGTGAGTAAAAACTTTATAAAGTAAAAATGTTGTATGTGTTATAGAAAATTTTTTCACGTTGGTTAAAATTTTTCATTTTCATTATAAACTTTCAAACGGCCCTTATGACCACAGATGGCCCTTAATCAAAAAAGTCCTCAGATAAAATTGTAGAAAATGTAATTTGTAACTTATATTAAGAAAATTTTTTTGTAAAAAAATAAAATAACTTTAAACTACCCCTATTGAAAAACGGCAGGGGGTGAGTAAAAACTTCATGAAGCAAAAATGTTGTACAGTAGTGTCGCGATAATCCGATCCCGCGATAATCCATATGCTTCTGTAATCCGAATCGCATTTTCGTTCCCTTAATGTACTCTGTAATCCGGATTTCACTTGATTCAGTAATCCGAATTCATTTACATTACTCTTGAAAATAAAAGCACAGGTTTTCACTTGTCGTTTTGTAACTGCGTTCAAGTGGATAGGTGGTTTTTACATGTCTACATGCATCATTCAATACGCAGCATTCTTCCTGACTGTGTGGGCTTTTTCAAAAATGTACATACTTACATATTTCGCACTCTATATAGAATTATTTTTTTTATTTGTCTTGTTTTTCAAATACATATAAAGCTTTTTTTGCTTAAATACAGCATGTTTTTTTTTCAAAATAGTTTTAAAAGCGGACTGTAAAATGCCTTAGTAATCCGAATAATTTGATAATCCGGATTGGTCAGGTTTTGATTGATCCGGATTATCGCGACACTACTGTATGTGTTGTAGAAAAATTTTTCACGTTGAATAAAATTTTTCATTTCCATTATGAAATTTCAAATGGCCCTTATGACCACAGACGGCCCTTATTTAAAAAAGTCTTCAGATAAACATTGTAGATCAAATAATGTTGCACATTTTTTATTTGAAACATTTTTTTGTAAAATCAATAGGTACCAAGCAATCGCCAATGGCGCACTTTCAACCCCTATAGCGCAAAACGCCAGAGGGGTGAATGTGTGATATCTTCGGTTTTATGATCACCCATACCCGCCCCCTATCATCCCTGAAAATTTCATTTGGGTAGGAATTTTTTTTTTGCAATGCATGTATTTTTCGACTATTTTCCTAGACTGATAAACCATCTAATAAATAGTCCGAACAAAGCCTAAACATTTGGTTTGGCTAGGTGAGCCCGTTCTTGAGTTATAAAATTACAACGAAAAGTGGCATTAATTTTCATACAGGGCTGCGCTGGAGATTTTTTTTGTTTTATTTACATTCTTTGAACATTCCTGTGCCTGAGTTTATTTATTTGGTGGTACACTTTACAAGAATAATGCCCATAAGCTGCCTAAAGTAAAAAAGGATGATGTAAAATTTTAATTTTAGGTGACTTCTGATCCAGAGAGTAAACAATAATTTTCTTCAACCAAAGCCAAATTCACCATCGAAAAAAACTGAATTTAATTCAGCAAATAGATACGTTAATACAACATTTAATAGGCATTTAATAATTCAGAGGCAGTACGAAGTTCGCCGGGTCAGCTAGTATTCTATATTTTGATTTTTTTTTCTTCCTATCAGGTTCGTGGTGTCGAAGTAGGTATAGTCCTCATAGTTCTTGTTGTGTGGGTGGCAGCCATTGCACTATTCTTCAACAGGTGGGGCAAGATAAGAATGCTTCTGCCTTATCAACCTGATTACAAGCAAGAACAACTGAAGGTTCCTGGAACTGCAGCTTGTGCCGCAGCAACAGCGTCGACGGGGAACGCTTGCAATCATCATGCACCGACAAATATTTGTCAGCAGGTATTTAGATTAGATTTTTTTAACATAGATTTTTTTGTTTATACAGCACAGAAAAATATGATTCTAATATAATATTATGTATTATTAACAATTATCTTTGGGACAGCAGAACTTAGAATTTTGTGTGTGTTTTTTGGTGTAGTTTTTTTGGTATGTTGGGCAAAATTCTTTATAGAAAATAGCATTTCCTTAAGCGAGGAGAGTGGACTTGTACACTTACGTAAAATTTCGTCAAATTTGCCCATTTAAAAGTAATTTACAATAATTTGTGTTACATCAATTAAGTACATAAATATCATCAAGTTCTGATCGTTCCTGATTTTTCAGCCACGTTTTTTATTTTGCATGTATTTGTTTTTTGAGATTTTTTTGCAAGAATTCTATTTTTCCAAGCTATTATATTTTTTAAAAAATTAGCGCCTATGACTGCCAATACCAAAAACATTTCACATACATAATATTAATCGTACATTTAGAAGAATAATAAAATTGTATCACCTCAAATTGATCGTAAATGTACGAAGATTATTGCGAAAATTACTTTGACGAAATTTTTCGTAAGGACTTTACATTGCACATCATAGAAATTTAACCTCACAAAGATTTGTAGAACGAACTATAGATTTATAATAGAAATGTATTGTATTTGTATCTGCTTTCATAATTCAGAAGATATTTTCATTAATTTTCGCAATAATTTTTGTATAGTTTGAAAAAAAAACAAAATATTAACCAAGACCAAGAAACATATACCAACAAAACACATTTTGTATTAGAAACATATTCAAATTTAGTTCTGGGGGCAAAGAGTAGCCAAAAAAAGAAAACTCACTTGAACGACAGCTGTCTGTGATTAGTTACATGTATTCTAAGAGCAAAGAAATTTTTCTACAACATTTTTTTGTTATCAGGGTATTATTAAAAGGCAGAGTCGGACAGTAATGTCTAGTCTAGATTGTCATTTTGAGACAATGGATTTAAACTTTTGGTGTGCATATCAAAAAAAATCTAGAGATGCACCAGTATGAATTGCTGAGATTTTTTTAAAAATTAAATTATAGTAATCATTACGTATAAAATTTATTTTTTAAATGTAAAGTTGCCTGATTAGAGGGGTAGGGCGAGTGATATATAAAGTTTTTCATCTTTTGAAGTCGGCTTTATTATGAACAATTATATTTATTGCTTTGTCTGATTAGAAAATTTGCTTTTTTCGATTTCAACCTATGCCTATGTATAAAAATGTAAATATTTATCTATTTATTTACATATAAGGTATTTATAAAATTTGGAACATCGCACATTTTTAATGGCATTTTTTCAATCCTTAGCTTAGGAAATTGAAACATATTTGAAAAAACCAGTTTGTGTGTGACAGATAGAATCTGTGTTCAGCGAAGCACTAATACATACATAAAATACTAGCAAATTAATTTTTTTTCATTCCAACACTAGTAACCATTTGTTGAATACATTAGGTATAATCACATAGAGTTTGGAACATCCTTGAGATGCCACTCTATTGTTTTTTTTTTCTCTCCATTCCGAGCTCCATTCTATCAACTCATCAGCGAACTCATTGAGCAACTAATTCTAAATATCAAACTGAAGAACCAAATCAATGCTCACGAGGCCAGTAAAACGTTTCCCATAGTTTCGCGAATCGGCACTCAATTTAAATTGTGTCTCTTCCTAAATTCTCTTTACTGTCTCACTACTTCTCAATTTCCTGTGAAAAAGTATAGGTAATATAATTCTAGCACGTGACGTCTCACTTCTAGAAGCTGTACCTTGTGAATTGCCAGATCAATTCGCGTACACATAGGCCAGGAAAGAGAGGTTGAACCTCGCAAACTCGACACAAGTTCTGTTTCATTTTTTTTCTGGTAGGACAAGGGCTGCTTATTATGGGTCTAACTTTTTCCAACAAAATTTCACCCTGGAACATCCCCTTTCATCCCCCTAAAGGTGTTTTTTTGTGGTTTTTCCGGAACGTGGCGCTTCCACTACGTTTTACGAAAAAATACTTTCTTAGCAAATTAAAGAGGACTAAATTCTCTACAATTTATCCAGTGACAGTATATGTCTGTCACCTACCCTTTAGTCGGGGTGGCGCTCTATATTTGAATGACCTTGAAAAAAGATGTTTTGGAAATTATTTTTTTTTACTGAACAGTAAAGCGAATCCACCACAAGCTATACAGCAAATACTCATAAATAATTGGCAGATTTTTTGGTATATGTTTTATTTAAAAACAGTAACCCGCTTAAGATATATAGGGTGTTGAAATTTAAACAACCCTCTTTCATATCATCTGAAGGGCTAATGCTAGGCTGTTCAAATTTTCAGGGATTATTGATGTTAGAATGATATTGAAAAATTTGTATAATGCACCCCTATTTTCCACCTGGAACTACCCCAAAAAAAATTAAATTTGAAAAAAAATGCTTTTTTTTTTTCATTTCCTCGCACACAATGCCCTCTATGTGAATGGTTCAAATATTATTTGTGCACACCTCCGACATACATGCATAGACAACAAAAACATTTTTCTAGTACAACCCCACTAGACGGAAAAAATATATTAAGGGTGTGAAAAAAAAAAAAAAAAATTGTCCTTATGTTTAACATAGGTCAGTAGCGCACTCAATAGGCTTCCCAAAAATATATCTACTTATTGCAACATTCCTCTGGAAACTACCCCTGCCCCTTATGGAAGTTGTCGCAACCACTCTTTTGCGATTATTTCGTTACCTATGCATTGTATGGGAAGGAAATTTATACGAAATTGCAGACCACCATTTGCTCTACAAATAGGTTCCTAATGCATTTTTTTATATTTTGCAACCGTTACGCCACAGTGGCGTCCCAAAGCTCAGAAATTTTATAGCGAATTCCAGTTTTATTCCATTATCTCGTCACCTATTCACAGACTTAGCACCCCCCCAACCAAGATGAAATACATACATAAACGTGTAGTAGGCCTACTGGGAACACCACAATAAAAAAACGCCCCTCTTGAGGTAGAGTACCTACATGGTTCCCACACCATTGTTGGGTGGTCTGGAAACGACTACAAGCTGTTCATGTCACCATTGTATTTTAATGGTTGGAACATAGAGCTCAAATTGCATGAAATATAATTGGTATATACTTAATACTGTTATAAGTAAATCAATTTGTCAAAAAGAACAAAAATGGAGTTTGCATGACGTTTTCCGACATTTGGGCTACCGTTGTGGCTGAAAGGTGGCCAGAACATAGAAAGTGCATAGGGCATAATGAGTAGACAAATTTCTGGCCTTCAATTTAGCAAATGAATTTTAGCGATAAAATGTATAGGTGACGAGATATTGGAATAAAACTGGAATCCAGTTCTAAATTGCTGAACTTTGGGCCGCCACTGTAGCGTAACGATTGCAATATAAAATAAATGCATCAAGACCTTATTTGTAGAGCATATGGTGGTCTTCAATTTCGTATACATTTCCTTCCCATACAATGCATAGGTAACCAAATATTCGCTAAAGAGTGGTTGCGACAACTTCCACAAGGGGCAGGGGTAGTTTTCAGAGGGATGTTGCAATAAGTAGATATATTTTTGGAAAGCTTATTTAGTGCGCTACTGACCTATGTGAAACAAAAAGCCAAGAAAAATTTAAAAAATTCACCCCCTTAATATTTTTTTTTCCGTCTAGTGGGGTTGTACTAGAAAAATGATTTTGGTGTCTATGCATGTATGTCGAAGGTGTGCACAAAATAATATTTGAACCATTTACATGGAGGGCATTGTGAGCGAGAAAATGAAAAAAAAAGGCATTTTTTTTCAAATTTTATTTTTTTTTGGGTGCCCAGGTAGAAAATAGGGTTGCATTATACAAATTTTTCAATATCATTCTTACACCAATAATCCCTGAAAATTTGAACAGCCTAGCATTAGCCCTTCACATGATATGAGAGGGGGTTGTTTAAATTTCAGCACCCTGTATATTTTAAACGGGGTACTGTTTTCAAATAAAATATATACCAAAAAATCGGCCAATTATTTGTGAGTATTTGCTGTATGGTTTGTGGTGGATTCGCTTTACTGCTCAGTAAAAAAAATAATAATTTCCAAAACATCTTTTTTCAAGGTCATTCAACTTTAGGGCGCCACCCCGACTAAAGGGTAGGTGATAGACATATGCTGTCGCTGGATAAATTGTAGAGAATTTAGTCCTCTTTAATTTGCTAAGAAAGTTTTTTTTTTTGTAAAACGTAGAAGCGCTACGTTTCGGAAAAACCACAAAAAAACACCTTTAGGGTGATGAAAGGGGATGTTCCAGGGTGAAATTTTGTTGGAAAAAGTTAGACCCATAATAGGCAGCCCTTGTCCTACCAGAAAAAAAATAAAACAGAACTTGTGTCGAGTTTGCGAGGTTCAACCTCTCTTTCCTGGCCTAACAGGTGATTTTGACTTTGTGCTATGTAGGACTTCTAGGGGATGATCTTGTTTTCTGATTTGGTATGCTGGCTTCTGTTGAACTAATAAGTTCGGAACTGGTATGTAGCTGGGGGATCATCCAATGAATGAGAACTCGATTTTGTCTCAAATGTCTTATTAAGCACAAACACACACGTATATCATATTCTAGCTGTATCTAGAAGCGATACAACTTCATAACATGAGGTAAATAACTAATACTATAGAAAGTTATAGTTTTCATCAGAAAAAGCCATAATTTAAATGTACTGCAAAAAAAGCAGTGAATATGGCGCCATATCGAGGACTGTTTTCTATGACCATAATCTTAATTTGGTTGCATGAGCATACTGTAATGGGGCACAAAATTCTAGAGGTTTCTCGATAAATACCCGCGATATCGGGTATTTATCGAGAAACCTCTAGAATTTTGTGAATGCTTGATTATTCAAATCACCCATTGGGTTTAGGAATGCTGGATCAGCAGTAGTATCCTATGAATAATTTACTTGCAGGCAGCACTGAGACTTTTACTGA